CCCCCATGCCCCGTGCAAGCCCCCGGTTCTGCTCCCACCCCGGGCACTGTCTCTCGCGCATCCTCCTGATTCCCTTACCTCTCGCAGCCCGTACTCCCATGTCGTCGTCCTCGGGGAATATGACCACAACTCCAACACAGAGTCCACTCAAGTGAAGACCGTGGCCAGGGTGAGCTGGGCTGACGCAGCCACAGTCTTGGGACAGGGCTGCAGCTCTGGGACGCGGCCGCTCTCTCAGGACAGGAATGAAGCATTATGGCATTTTTTCGGCAGGCCATCACGCACCCCAGTTGGGACCCCTACAACATCAACAACGACATCGCCCTGCTGAAGCTCTCCTCGCCTGCCCAGCTGGGACGCCGCGTGTCCCCCGTCTGCCTGGCCCCTGCCAATGTGGCTCTGCCCACCAACCTCCAGTGCGTCACCACCGGCTGGGGACGCACCAACACCAACTGTACGCCCAACACCACCTGTACGTACACCGCAGCTTGGGGGGGGGCTGCCGGCGGCCGCCATCCTTCCTCATGGCTCTGCAGGATCTGGGGGTGCCCGGGGGGGGTGACACCTCACGTGCACGTGGGGAGAGGGAGTTGGGCAGTTGAGTAACCCCATCTGGGCACGTACAAGCGTCGGTGCAAATCCCAAGGATGACTCTGCATGGGTACAAGCCTGCCCTTGCTCAGGGCTGCTTGCACGAGACGATCCCACCTGGGGAAGAAGGGGTACGTTGGCACAGAAGGGTAAGGCGCTTTGCATGGCAGCACCCATGTGTTTGGGAGCACCAGCAGGAGCTTGCCCAGGGTGCCCGTGCGCTGCTCCCAAAGGCCCCAGGTGACTGCCGACACCGGGGCGATTTACCAGTGCTTCTCTCCCCTAGCCCAAGCCTTGGCTGCACGCCTGCAGCAGGTAACCCTGCCCTTGATCTCCCAGAGCGAGTGCATGCAGCACTGGGGCAACCGGATCACGAACGCCATGCTCTGTGCCGGCGGGGAAAAATACGTGGCCGAGCTCCCGCTGTTCCACAGGGAGGGTGGAGGAGGAGGAGGAGGACGACGAGGACATGGTGGGTCTTGCATCTATGAAGCCAGAGATTTAAGCTATAGCACTTGGCCGTGTCCAGGGGACCAGGGCGCTGGGGTGGCAGGGACCAGTTTGGAGCACATGCTGGGACCACTAAGCTGAAGGTGTCTTCTCCACAGGGTGACTCTGGCGGACCTCTGGTATACCAGGATGGGAACATCTGGACCTTGATCGGCATTGTCTCTTGGGGAAACAGCAACTGCAATGTCCGCGTGCCGGCTGTCTACACCCGCGTAAGCCAGTTCCGAAACTGGATTGACTCCACTGTTGCTCAGGGATAGAGCCGGTGTCGGAGTGATCCCTTCGCTGGGCACTGCTCCCGACACAGGGAGCTCAGCAGAGCTGGCAAGGGGCTGAGCTGGAAGCAAGGCACCCCACTTCATAATAAAGCGTCAGCATTTGGTTGTGCCAAGCGCTGCCTCCGGCTCCTTTCCTCTCGCAATGCAGGCCAGGGTGGAAGGTGCACGGGGGAGGCCTGGGGCATCCCAAGCTCTTCTCCTGAACCCCAGCGCTTCCCAGAGCTGCAGCTCGGTGCCCAGCCGGGACTCGCTTGGGC